AATATGTTACTATATTCACTTTATCATGTATCAACCCATCCCTTATCCATCCATTTTTTTTCTGGTTCATTTCAAAGTAAAATGCAGATATTACACTTTGCCTTAAAAACTGCAGCATGCATATTTTAACTGCAGTTAATATTTATTTACAGTTTTTCTTTTGATGTAAAATTTACATGTGTGCATTTTTCTATTGGCTACATACACCCAGGAGAGGAACCACCGGGGCATAAGGTATGATTACGTCCGGCTTTAGTAGATACTGATAAATAGTTTTTCAAAGCAGTTGCATCTGTTTGTTTGTTTGTAAGTGCTGAAATGATCCCCCTATTTATTTTGGTGACTCCATGCCCCAGACTTTGCCCAAAGTCATGAGCAAGTGTAAGTACCTTAGAAATCTACTCCCTTCTCTGCACCAGACAGACATCTATCCAAGTACCAGTCATTTCTTGAATGGGGTCTCTTGTTTATTGTGCATCTCCTTAGTAGACTGCAAGCCCTGAGAAGGGGAGCTTTTGAGTCCCCACCTTCAAGTACAGTGGCTGGCATGGAGCAGGCACTTACGAAATCTGTGCTGAATGAATGAGTGGGGACTGTGGAGGGATCTGGCATCTCTCTGTCTCTGCAGGGCAGAGAATAGATGGCCAAGGTCAGTCTAAAGAGATGCAATTAGTGCTGCCCTTATAACCAAAGACCCATCATCACAGTCACTCAAGCAAAACAAAGTGCCTGTCATGGAGGCTGCTTGGTTTCAAGGCTTAATTTAGCCTCTTCCCTGAGTTAACCCGAGATAACTCTGACTCAGGAGGAAGTGAAGGGGAATAATCAGGTCGACTGTGTTTACTTTCCAAAGACTCTGCAGCAAAGCAAAGGCCCAGATGAGGCCTTCTCCGACTCACAACAGAGTTGCATCTTCAAAGTTTGTTCCTAAGTTGCTCAGGTCATCACCTGCATTTCTCCATAGAAACCGTGCTGGGAGTGTGGCTGGATTCCTAGGGGACTCAGCAAGGGCTTCCTATGAGGGAAGTAGTTCAAACGTTGCTTTCTTTGGAGAAGTTGTCTGGGCAGAATGTAGAGGGTGAACAGTGGTGGAGGAGACTGATGGAGGCTGGGAGATGAGCCTGGAAACCAGGGCAGTAACAGATGGGAGGGGAAAACAGAAGCAAAATTAAACAAAAAGCAAAGGCCGGGGCCAGGCAATGCCTGACATAAGGCTTACCACAAGGGTATCGGTTCATTTATTCACTTGCTCATTCACTAGTTCTCTCCCGCCAGGGGCTAGGTGGAGGGGTGGGGTGGGGAGTGACTATTAATGGGAAAGCTATTTCTTTGGGGGGTAATGAAAATGTTCTAAACTTGGGGCCGGCCCGGTGGCGCACTGGATAGTGCGCTGCTTGGGAAGTGCGGCGGCGCTCCC